ATGAATACAACTTTATCATTAAAAAATTATTAGAGAAAGAATTCTCTAATTTTTCAAATATTAAAGGCAAAAAAATATTGGACTTAGCAAATATTGCTAAAAAAGTTTGCAAATAAGATACTTGATTTTTTTTAAAAAAATCTGTAGTTAGTTAGAATTTTGCCAATAGCCACATTTATATTTTTCTGAATACTTTGCTTTATTGTATTTGAATTCAAGAATATAAGACATATGATCACAAAGCTTAACATTAATTCTTTTATTGTCAAAATTCAATTTCTTTTCGAAGAATATTATGTGATAAAATAGTCACATTATTCTAGTGCTAGTTTTATAATGATAATATAATTTATTTTAACATTAGTATAATGTCAATATCGATACATAATTCAGTAAGCTTTTAACTTTTAATTTAACATTAGACTTATAAGGATAAAAACTAAATTGAACTCCTACAGCCATGAGAGGCTGTCAGAGTTTAAAAATCGAGTAAAAAAATTAAAACAGATTATTACAATGTGAATTAACTAATGTTAATTAATGTGAATTAGCTATGTACAGTAAATTATATGAATTAACTATTGGGCAGATTATAATTTACTTTATTTTTTATTAAAAACTATTATTCAAGAATTCAAGATTTGGATCATATCTTTTAAATACTAAATCCATAGTGTTATTGATGGCTTCATATTGCTCTGTTGAAAATTTAAATAAGTAGTCATTTTCAATACATAAAATAGCATTTTTTGTGCAAATAGACTTTCAAATTTCACTGTTAAAATTTATTATAAAGCAATAAAATGGATCAGTTATCGGAAAGTCTAGAAGCTTTTTCTTTATTTTACCAAGATCTTTTAGCTTTTTTAAAAGCCATTGTGGCTTGGTATTCGTCTATAATTTGAATACATATTAATTTAAAATATTAATGAACTAATAAACCTAAAAAACTTACTAAAAATTTCATATATGATTCGATAATTTTTTCCTTTATTATAATTTCTGCTTATATAAGAATTTCTTTAATCTGAACTTCTGAAATATTTTTCAGATAATTCACAATTGTTATTAGTTGTGCTTTATCAGTGCAAGAATATATAGCAGTCTGTAAACTTGATAGAACATCTATATTGTAATGCTCTAGATTAAATTTTAAAATTCTATATATGATTAATACTAATGCTAAAGAAACAATTCATCGTATTTTAAACCTCAACATAATTGCAAAATTAAAGTCTATCAAAAAAAAAAAGAAAAAGCAAACCATTCATAACCTGAGTTGTGATTGAAATCTTACAAGTATGTGGTTTTGTAATATCTAACCAAAACTGAAGAATTTTGTAGTTACTGTTTTCAATTTGTTTCTACAGTATAAATCGAGATAGTTATAAACATTAATGATATGGTAACGAAAATTTAATTATGGTATTGCAGTTAAAAACCTTTCATATATATTGCAATCAGCAATTTCCTTTACATAATTTATTAAAATCTATGACCTAATGTGAAATTATAATATATTGTCTTTTAAATCAAAAGACAACATCATGCAAATCATAGGAATTATATTAAAGAACATTGGATGATATATTGCAAACACCCAAACACTTCTTGACATAAAACAATCAGTTTTTAACAAAATTTATTACAAAAATCCACTTAGAATACACAAGATATTAGATGATATGTTGTAAACAACTAAATATTGATCATCTAACAAACTGGTTTGTTTTTGCAATGATAATTATACTGAAAATTATCCTGTTTCTTATTGTAATAGAAATTATGAAAGTTTATAAAGCTGAATTGCAAATAACTAGCTAATGCAAAAAATCATGGATATTGTACTATTTCTAGCATAGAAGCAAAACTTAAGTGACCATACCTGAAATATTTCTAAAGCCACTTTTAGTTATACATTCTTAAACTTTTTTTTTCAGTGTTTTTAAATTATCATCTGAAAAATTTAAAAGGTCACTTGTGTATCTTCTTATTTCAACTTGAATAATTGACATATATACTTGATATTATTTCTTTCAGCTTATTACTATAAAGCTGATGCATTAAAAGTTTATCTTTGTACACTAATTGCCTTCCTTTATTGGCAAGTTTAAACTTGCAAAAGTTCAAAAAGTTAATTAAAAAAATTTCATCAAGCATCTTTACTTTAAAGTTAGAAAAATCATTAATCAACATTTGAACTTCATCTTTATTTAGCATTTTATATATACTAGATAAAAAATTGTGTCAAGAAACAAAGAACTGAAAATATGGTGATAGGTATAAATTTTTAAAATTGTTCAGTATCTTAAATCAAAACAAAAAAATACAAGGTGCAGATCAGACAAACTTTATTTAGTGTTCGTCATGTGATAATTGTAACTCATCTGACTAATAAACTCACCTAATAAACTCAAGCTTATTATCTCATTACTTTACATTTTGTTTAGAATGTGAAAGTTTAGTTTTGAAAGCAAAAATTTTTACTCATCATTATAAAATACTGTGCAACATGGCCTTTTTTGGATGTTATTTTTTTTCTAAGATTTTAGATTTTATAATGTGTCATTAAGAAAGTATCTTATCTGATATATTCTTTTGGCAGATTATTAATCTTTACATTGTCAACTGTATCAGCTTCCTAGTAAAATGCTATACTTGATAACTTTTTAGGAACTAACAAGCAAGCAACTAAATTAAAAAAAAAAAGGTAGGCAGTTCTCTGTTATTGTATGTTTTGCAGAAATTACTTGTTTATCTAGCAGTGAATTTGTCATTTTACTTTGTTTTGCTAATTCTTTTGTAGTTGTAAATTTATTCTCTAACAGCCTCTGGAGGCTGCTGGAGAACAAACTGAGTTTAACGAACTCTAAATTTTTATATCTGATGGCACTCAGAGTAGATATAGGCAAAGTAATTACTTATTACATAGAAAGTCACATTATACAATGCGACAATTTTCTAATATATATTACTTGCAACTAATAAAATGCTAAACTGTCACATTATATAATATTACTTTTTACATAATAAATGATTACCTTGCCCATCTCTACTCTGGATGCCATCAGAGAATGAACTGATTTTAATGAACTGCTAAATTTTTATATATTACCAATACCTTCGTACAAATAATAACCATGCCTAATTTATAATTAAAATAAACTTTATATTTTATTAATTTTTATTTTCTTATTAACATTAAGAAAAAAGTAGATTCTGATTACAATTGAAAATCTCATTAAAATTGCAAGAAAGTGTTTTATAAATTTATTAGAAGCTAAAGTAATGATTATTAATTACAATAAAATTTCATCAATGCCATTACATTATTCTTAATATTTAAATAGCTAAATTTTCTTCGCAATATTGACCAATTCCAATACTTTTGCACCTTTTGGGTTACAAAATTCAGTAAATTCTGAATTTTTCAATAATTCTTTAATAAGAAGATTATAATCTTCTTCAGTTGTTTTAAAAAAATATCTTGCATTTAATTTAACTTCAATCATTTCACTTGGTGTTATATTAGTAACTCAAAGAAAATGGTAAAGTTTTCAACATGCTGTTCAATTTTTCAAAACTTTACATTGATTGCCAATTTTTTTATTCATCCAAGATTTTATATTTGTGCCCTTCCAGTTTTCTGTTAAGTTATTCAAAGTATTTTGGCTCACTTCATGTTGTCGTTCCTGATAATAAAGAATAAGTAAAATAAAAAAAAAGTTGAACAAAGAATAAATGAGTTTAAGCATTTTATAATGCTGATTGATTATTTCTTTTTCACATTGTTCAAAGTTTTGCACCCATTGATATAAAAACTCTAAACAATTTGTAATATCTATTTGTAAATTTGGCAATGGCCCAAAAGAAGTTAGTGCTATGTTTTCTGTAAAATAAGTTTCTATTGGCTTAGAATCATTTCGTCTTGGACACCTGGATTCGATTCAAAAATCTCTGCCTTTCCTTTTTTTTTTCTGAGATTTTTCAATTCCTCTGCATAATAGAAGGGCATTTTATAACACTTGCTAATAGTAGTTGACCCTATTAATTGAAATTCAACATTAATTATGATATTTATGATTTAATAAATTGGAGATTAAACTTATCATAAGATTAGCTTTTCCTATTATTACTCTTTGATGGAAAAAATAACAAATTAATGGCATATTTTTATATAACCTTTTGAAAATTAAAGTACCACATACTGAAATATTGTCATGATCTGATTCTGCTATTAATCTATTGTCAGTCTACATGGATTATTTCTTTTTAATTTGATAATATTAATATTTTATAAAGATAATTTATATAAAAAGTACCTGCTCAATTTGACTATCTTCAATAATTTGGTTATTTTTTTTAGAGAAAGGATCATTTGAAGATGTCTGAAAGTCTTCTATGCATTTCTTTATTAATAATAATTATTAATGGTAAATTATATCAAAAATTTACTAGATTATTTAAATAATTTTTACTTCATCATTTTTAGAATTTGGTAAAATGTCTCGATTTGTATCTGTGCTCTTTAATAGTAATAATTATTTAAATGGGTATATTCATTAAAGGTCTGTATATAATGATAATTAAACTTTACCTGATCAATAATTGAAGACGCTTCCTAGATTTGACAAAAAAAAAAAGACTTCAACATATAAAAAGAGGAAAAAAGAAAAAAGTAAGTAATAAGTTACTAACATTTCTTATATTTTGACTTTCCAGAACACTTGATGGTATATCGTTTGGTATATTGAGTGAAAAACTTGTCTCAATATTAACTGTGTTCTTGGTTACTGAAATTTTTAGTACATGGTTATTAACAAATTGTTTAATTTATAATATTTATCATGATTTCATTAACACTATGCAAGCTCTCATCTGTCAAGTCAGAAGGAAATTTGGGAATCTTCTAGTCAATATGAAATAGTTTAGATACATTATAATTACTGTTGAGTTTCTTTTCTTCAATTGCATCAGACTAAAAATATTCATTTAAGGACTAAATAATATCTTAAATTAAATGTTTAATATATAACTTACTTCATTATTTCTTGCAGAATTGATTTCATATTCAACAGCTTCATTAAATCTAATTTCATTGATTTTTTCTTGTGAATTAGAATATTCATCTGATGATTTCTTTTTAGATTTTCATAATTAATTTTCATGTTAAGTATTTATAACAGTAATAATTATAAAAAAATTTATACATCAAGTTTCATAGGTTGTGATATTGATAAAGTGTTATTTATCTGATTTTAAAAATAACAAAGTAAATAATATAGACTAGAAAAATATTTGTTTAATCATAATAGAGTTTACCATTCTACTAAAGCATTTATTATGTTCTACAACAACAATAGGAAAACTATTGATTTCCACCCTATGCAGGGTTGATTTTTTTATAATTTAAAATTTTTTTCTTTTAAGTAAAATTTTATTATGTGGTTAGTAATGATATACTTAAATTAGCTATAATTTAACAATTTTACCCAAAGTCTTGCATTTTTTTTTATGATACAGTGCCCTTTTCTTCCTTTTATTTTGACTGTCATCAGAATCTGAATTTTGACTGTCATCGTCAGAATCACTTTTCTATCATTTATTTTTTTTGCACTTTGATGATTTTCAAGGTGCACACATTTAGATTTCCTTGAACTCTCTTTTTTACACTCCTTTACAATAATCTGAATTAATAATTATATTTTTGAAATTTATTAATTGACTAGTTTAAAATTCTTACATGATTATTATCTCTAGATTCATCAGTTTGTGTAATATTACTTGCTAGAGTTGTATTTTCAAGCTTTCTGGAGATAACACTAACTGATTGTTATTGTTGGGCAAAGATTCATCAAACTTAGTTACAGGAAGCTTTCAAATTCCTTATGCTTGTCTTAAAGAATTTTTTTTACCTAATTATCATTAACGCTAGCAGTTTTCAAAGTATTAACAGTAACATTGATTGTTGAATGAAAATCAGATAATAATTTATTGGATTCCTTATTATTTTCAAAGTTGTTAAAGTTCTCTTCTTGCTGAGGTTTCAATGATTTTTAATAATTACATTTTATAATTACATTTATAATTAATATTATTGAAAATTTTATTGCCTCATGATTCATATTAACATTTAGATATTTTGAAGCAATCTTTATTAACATTAATGTTAATCATCAATTTTGTAAAAAACAATTGGACATTAAAAAATATTTGTTTCTTACTTTATTTTCCCTCTTTCTTTTTGAAATTTTAAAATAATCATTTATATGACTATCTTTAAGCCATTGATCTTCTCTAGTAACATTTTTATTTGTTTGAGCATCAATCATTAATGTATCTTCTTGCGATTTATTAACTAGATCCTAAGTTTTATTTGAAAATGTTTTAATGTTATTGTGTCAGTTGATTAATAAATATGACAGATTAAAATGAAATCAGATTAAAATGAAATTTTTCCCAGTATAAAATAAGCAAGACATTGAAAAATTCAATTTCATCTTAATTCAACTTCATTATAATCTATAACAATAAATATTTTAACATTAACTACATCTTCAATGATAATAGATTCTTTCCTCTTTGTATTAGCTAGATCATTGATTGTTTTTCAATATGTTTCTTTAGAAATTAGAATCGCTCCAGGTGTGTCAAAAAAATTTTTATCATAATTATTGCAATTATCTAAGAAAATAGTTGCTGAGTGTAATTGGCCATCATAAACAATTTTTCTAACTTCCTCTTTTGTAGCTTTTCATATAAGACTTATTGTGTTCCTAACTATTTCTTTTGAATTTTCTATTGCTTCGATCATGATTCTTTTCAATTATGCAGTAGTACAAAAGAAAAAGTTAAGAAATCAAGGTATTTATATATTACACTTTTAACTATGATTATATATTACACTTTTGACTATAATCTCACTTTATGAAAATTATTAATTAATAATGATGTCAACATATGATCTCATCTTATGATAAATTGTTAAGCTTCTTTCATCATGAAGTTGTTTTTATATAAAGTTATATAGAATTTTTATGTAGGATTATGTAAAATTTTTATACACCTTTACAAAAACTTTATAAACCCAATGTAGGTTTACATATCTATTTATATAAAGCTATATATATTTCTATGTAGAATTATATAAAATAGCAAAAAAATTTTAACTTAAATATCAAAGCTAAGATTAGATTTAAAATTTAAATTAGAGTTTAGAGAAGGTTTTCGAGCATGCTAAACATTTTTACTTAGTGCATCGATTGATGATTACCTTGGTCACTTTGAGAAATTGCTGAAATAAATTAAATTATTTTTATATAGATATAAATAAAATTTGCATAGGTTTTATATATTTTTTTTTTTTTTTTTTGGTATTAAGGTAAGGCCTTGCTTATATCTTTATTAATAATTTAAAATAGTTACATATATAT